TTTTTTCTATCGACATTTTCAAACGGTTAAAATAATATTAACGCAGTGACAGGGGTCGGGTTTGTGACACGTTCAGATGGAGAAGAAAAGGATTTATGGGCGCTTTTGGGGTCGGCTATCGCAATTGTAGAGGTAGCAGCAGCCAACGCGTCGAGTTCCTTTATTTTTCTATTTATTTTATTTTATTTTGTATTATTTTTTATTCCCAGGGAGGATTTCAGGGCCCGTTGTCGCACGGCGGTGCCTGGAGGTGGGGGTGAATTTTTTGCTGCTGGTGCGTTTGATTTGAGCGTTTCTCGCTTTGATGTGGGGGCAAAAAAAGAAACCAAACCCCAAACTCTGAAGGGTGTGATGTGCGAGGTAGTGAAGAGATGGAAGGGATCGTTCTTAAAAAAAAAAAGCATATGCTACCAGGAATGCGGGGTCTATAGAAGCAAATCAAAGCTGGAAAGTATGAATAGAATAGAAGGGGGAGAAAAGAAGATTTCTATAGGACCTAAAAGTTCACAGCCATTATAAGCAGACAGAAGCCAAGAAAAATGCGAGAATTATACAGAAAATCATTAATCACTTCTTTTCTTTAAATACTTATCCTTTTCCCATTGTTATTCAACAGCAAATCTCCTCAGACCGTCTGTTGGGGAAAAAGCACCCGGAGTTCGACCAGAATCTTCAGGGGAAATAATAATACTAATAATAAAATCTGGATCGTAAAGGTGAAAGCTTTATATTTGGGGGAGAAAACCCAAATCCTCACCCAACCCCCCCTCCCCCAGACCTCTCACTTTGGAAGAAACCACCCAAACCATGAGGGCCGTCTCTGGGGCGTTGGAAAAAGGATGTGGGAGCGAACCAGGTAACAGAGCTGCTCTCTTGGCATGCATTTCTGATCGTTTTATTGCCTCCTTTCACGAGAAAGTTCGGGGAAAGCAAAAGGACGACAACAACAATACAAAAAAAGAGAGAGAGAAAGAAGGGGGGAAAACGGGCAGAGAGAAAACCAACACGTGAATGTTCGTGCGGGGTTTTCCTTCTGTTTTAGCTGTTTCTTGCGACCATGCAGGGACGTTTGCAGGCAGCGGGCTTTCGGGGGAGATTTTTCCTCCTCGAGTTTCCTCCTCGGCCCGGCGCTGCTCCGCGTGTCTCCCTCCGCGCTCTGGGGGCGATTCCCTCATATTTCCTCT